AGCAGGGCAGCAGGATTATGACTGTTTCGAGACATCCGTGGGTATGCCCCTGAATCCCCTGGTTCCTCCTTATGTGGTGGACAAGCTGGGTTTGGAGTTCTGGGGTGATTGGAGTTCGGACTCGAGTTCCTGGAGTACTGTGTGTTACACTGATGGATCTGGTATGGCCGCAAGCTGGCCAGAACTACGGCATTGTGGGTGGACTGTGGCCCAGTTGGGTGATAATGGGATGCATGTTAGAGCCATGTGTGGGCCCATATGGGGCCAATCCAGACTGTGGGTAGAGCTGAGAGATCTGCGGTCTTGCAAGCCCTCCGACATCTGCCAGGACTTACCTTGGTGGTTTCTGAGTTGTTGGGCCTCGCGCGCGAGGCAGACAGCTGGTCACATTGACTGGCTGATTCACAGGCGGCATATGCTGACATTTGGCGTTCCATCCTGGCCGTGTTCCCTGGTGGAGAAGGTCACCCGACGTTCTTGCGGTGCCCTGCCCATGTCACGGATGACGACTACGTCGACATTGAGGCAGGCAAAAACGTATCATTGAAGTTTGTTATGGGCAATCGATGGGCTGACTACTTTGCCAAGCAAGGTGCACTGGTCCATGCTCAGCCCGAGACGATTGTCAAGCACTTCGAGGCAAGGCTACAGGATTGTCGGATGCAGGCGAGAGGTTATTTGCCTGGACTGCAGCCAAAATGGCTCCTCGTGATCAAATTAGTGACCAACCCGAACAGCTCTTGAAGGCCCACCGTGATGTAGTGCCCTGTTTAGGCCTCACTGCACCCAAGATGGCGGTCAGGGCCCCTCAGGTTTTCCAATGCAGAGATTGTCTAGCGGTTGCCCGTGCGCAGGCCAGCATTGGGAAGCTCCCTGGGACTCATTACAAGCCGTCGGCCCAATTGAGGCTGAAGGCCAACGACCATCAGCAGCTCCAGAGAGCCCCGCTTACGTATGAGGTCTCGAGCGGTTAGTGTGACCCTCCAAGGGGCGGCGGATGTTGTAGGTGATGCATTGCCACAAGGTGCTCAGCTGCATGTGGATCCACCGCCTCGGACTGACGACATTGTCGAGCTCCGTGGGCACCGTGTCTTGGTGCTTCTGTGGTCCATGGTGTGCACTTTGTGCGGCTCCGATCAAGTGTCCAGTGGCAAAGTTGCGCATTGTAAACTGCAGGAGCAACGCGTAGGGGCGGCGCAGCACGGCCAGTCCCGATATAAGCAGACCTATACTATACTATATCTGCTATCAAGGCTGGTCGCCACCCCAAGACGGGCAAATCTATTGACCTGTCTAAGTTTCGTAGGTAAGGCCCGTGCTCCCGTCCCTCGGTTGCACGACTCGGCCTGGCGCTGGTCCCCCTCCATCCTCTTCTCCTCCTCCTCCTCCTCCTCCTCCTCCTCGTCCTCCTCCTCCTCCTTCTCCTCCTCCAATCCCTCCTCCTCCTCCTCCTCCTCCTCCTCCTCCTCCTCCTCCTCCTCCTCCTCCTCCTCCTCCTCCTCTTCATCCACCTCCTCCTCCTCGGGCCCGCTCGGGGTTTTGCGCGGCCGTGCACGGGCCCTCCTGAAGCGCTCGTGGCCGCCCGTGGGCCCCGCTGGAAAGGCCCGTCGGCACGGAACTTAGCCTGGCGAGGGACCCGACCAGATGCAGTTACACCAGAGACCAACCCCACTCGGTGGATGGTTTGAGATGGTGATGCCGATGACGATGGTCATCACGGTATTGGTGATGCTGGTCAGGAGAAGCGAATGTGAACAGTTCATGGTGGAGATGGCACTACACCGGAGAAAAAGCCCAATCAACGGATGGCTTGAAAAAGGATCGATAAATAAAAGATCGACCAGGAACCCGGGAACCCGGAGCACACCGAAATCGGCCCAGGACCAATGACCAACAACCCGGGAACCTGGCACAGGGAACCCGGGAACCCAGCGGGTCACCAACATCGGCAGGACACTTTCGCCAAATCTTTCGGTTTCCGCTAGGACACCTTCTGTGCAAGCACTGATTGGGGGATTGTGAATACTGCAGTTGTGGGTACAGTCGACCCGTATGACAAGGACGCACGATAAGGCTGCAAGAGCCTTGAAGGCCGTTGCGAAGCTTTTCGAGCCGGGCGCGGCCAGCGAGAGCGACCAACGATGGGTCGAGGAGGCAAGGATGCAAGGGGTACCCTTGGGAAGGTTGCCCATCCTTGCTGTGCGGGTTGACTGTATCGTCTTCGGTGGAATTCTCTACGGGCCACGAAACGCAGTGGTGGGTGGGGGAGACACGAGCGAGCGTTGCCACTGGGGCCTTCGGCGGAGCTCCCTATGGTGCCACGAAGCGCTGTACAGGGTGGGGGGTGACGCGTGCGAACTTTGCCACTGGGGCCTTCGGCGGAGCTCCCGAGGGTGCCACGACACGCTGTACTGGGCGGGGGAGGCGCATGCGACACTTGCCACTGGGGCCTTCGGCGGAGCTCCCGATGGGGCCACGAAGCGCTGTACTGGGTTGGGGAATCGCATGAGGACGGTGCCATTGAGGCCTTCGGTGGAGCTCCCGAAGGGGCCCGATGGAGCCACGAAGCGCTGCACCAGGTCGGGGAGACACACGCGGACGGTTCCACTGGAACCGTCGGTGGAGCTCCGTATGGGGCCACGAAGCGCTGTACCGGGCGGGGTGGGGGGACGCATAGGGGGCGGTAGCGCTGGGACCTTCGGTGGCGCCCCCGATAGGGCCACGAAACGGTGCACTGGGTGGGGGAGACGCATGTGGGCCGTAGCACTGGGGCCGTGGGTGGAACTCCTTATGGGGCCACGAAGCGCTGTACAAGGGAGGGGGAGGGGGCGCATGCGGAAACTGCCACTGGCGCCGTCAGTGGAGCTCGCCATGAAGGCATGACGCGTAAGAATGGGTGGGGTGGGGTGGGGGACGCATCCGGGCGGTAGCGCTGGGACCTTCGGTGGAGCCCCCGATGTGGCCACGGTGGAGGAGAGAACGCATGCGGGCGGTAGCAATGGGGCCGTCGGTGGAGCTCCCTATGTGGCCGCGAAACGCTGTATGGGTGGAGGGGGGAAGCATGCGGGCGGTAGCACTGGGGCCGTCGGTTGAGTTCCCTATGGGGCCACGAAACGTTGTACTGGGTAAAAGGGGGACGCATGTGGGCGGTAGCAGCGGGGCCCTCGATGGAGCTCCCTATGGGGCCACGAAACGGTGTACTGGGTGGGGGAAACGCATGCGGGCGGTAGCACTAGGGCCGTCGGTGGAGCTTCCTATGGTGCCACGAAGCGCTGTACTGGGTGGGGGGCGCGCATGCGGGCGGTAGCACTGGGGCCGTCGGTGGAGCTTCCTACGGTGCCACGAAACGCTGTGCTGGGTGGGGATAACGCACGTGTGCGGTAGCACTAGGGCCGTCGGTGGAGCTCCCTATGGGGCCACGAAGCGGTGTACTGAATGGGAGGGACGCATGCGGGCGGTAGCACTGGGGCCTTCGGTGGAGCTCCTATGGGGCCACGCAACGCGTGAGGGGTTTGCCACAGTCAGGGGGGTGACGGGAGGAGGGGGAGGAGGAGGAGGAGGAGGAGGAGGAGGAGGAGGAGGAGGAATTGGAGGAGGAGGGGAGAGGAGGAAGAGGAGGAGGAGGAAGAGAGGAGAAGGAGGAGGAGGAGGAGGAGGAGGAGGAGGGAGGGAGGAGAGGAGGGAGGAGGAGGAGGAGGAGGAGGAGGAGGAGGAGGAGGAGGAGGAGGAGGAGGAGGAGGAGGGAGGAGGGGAGGAGGAGGCGGCGGCGGCGGCGGGCGCTGGGGGGTCGGTGCCTACAGTCCTCGGCACTGGTGACCCCTGCGTTGGGGGTTAGAGCTGGCCCTCCTCTGGATAGGCCAGCCTGGCGACCCACCGCGCAGGCACTTTCATGCAGGGTGGGTGCCCGCTATGATCTTGCTGATATAACCTTCTACCCTGCCCACCGTCAGCGGCGGGGCGACACCTACCTTCCATCCACTGCGGACAGAATGGGTAGAGGTGAGGGGAGGGGAGCCAAATAAACATCGGTCGGGGGGCGCTCTCACACTCCAAGGGCTGCGAGAGCAGCGACAGCAACAGCCTGCGCAACCGGCTCTGAGGAGAAGAGAGGAGAGAAGACGCGGGGCATCGTCTCTTCAAAGCGAGGACCCGACATCACAGGATGGTTGGGAAAAGCAAAAATGTAGGCGCCCTGGGACACACAAATAAATAGACACAAATAACAGGATTCCCCATATTCTCCCATATGTTCTGGGTTTAAATCTTCCCCACCATATCCCATACTCTCCCATATTTCCTGGGGATCAACGATTCATTATGTCTGTGTGTTTTTCCCCCTCCTGCAAAAGAGCAAAAAAGAAAACGTCAGGAACCCAACAGACAGCCTTCGCGTTCTGGAGGGGGTCCTCCGAGGGCCCTCCCGAGGCCTCTCGGGGCCAGCTTGGGGCCAACCTGGCGTCGCTTGGGGAATCCGGCAGGGAGTCCTGGCCATGGGGCCCGGGCACCAGGCGCCCAGTCCTTTTGCGCGAGGTGAACCACTCTCGCGGCGACGCTGTCAGGACGGTGCCCTGCAGCTTGGGCGCCAACTTTTGATCTGCTGTGTGCCATGCTGTGCGATGCTATGTAATGAGTTGCTGCGCTACGTTGCGCCTTGGCTTGGCAATCCATGCTGTGCAATGCCGCGCTGCGCCATGGTGTGCCATGCTACTCTTTGTTCATGCCACGCTACACGATGCTGCTGCGACATGTCACGCTAGACGGATATATGCTACGCGTTTATATTCTGCACGATGCTCTGCATTACATGGCACATCGTCGCAACGCACCTCATCGCGTCAGATGGCAGACTTGCAGATACACAGCATACGTATTCAGATCTCTGGTTTCCAGTCGGGTCGTGCTGGCTTCGTCCATCCATGCAGCTATCGAAACTGTTGCGCACCAGGACTGCGAGATGAGGGACGGAAGATGATGAGGACGCAGACAGCCCCGCCCGTCTCCTTCAAATCCCTCTCCGCGCTCGCCAGCTCCGCCTCAAGACTGTCCTGCATGCGCATCTCGGCCCTGGCGTCGGCCGCTGCCTCCATCTCCACGGCCGCCAGCCTCTCCGACACCTTCCTCCCCATGTTGTGGGTCAGGATGCACTTGGCCACGGCCTCGTTGAGCGACTCCCGGAGCTGCTGGCACTGGGCGTCCAGGTCCTCGCGGCGTGCCCGCTCCTGGGGAAACCAAAAAGGCACCGATACCGCTACCCCCTGGAGCTTCCCCCGGGGTGCGCTCTGACCAGGATCTCGAAGCGAATAGCCGGCGGTGGCGACGAGGGCCGCCCAGGAGGCCGGAAGAGGAGAGAACGAGCCAAGGGTACAGCGGTATGGGCACCTCTTCCTCCTCCGAGCTCCAGGCTCGCCCGGTCCCTCTCCCGAGCCAGCTCCGCCCTCAGCAGCGCGGCGACCTCCTCTCGGCGGTGGACAAACCTCCCTTTAGTAAACCTCCCCCGAGTGAAAACGGCCCAGGACCGAAACCGACGGACCTGGACCCGCAAAAATGACGGCCGCGACGCCCTCTCGCGAACCAGAAACGGCCAATTCGCTCATCGACGTGTCAGGGTAGGAGGTCTGTCCACCTCCGATCCTCCGCGCCGGGACCCGCCGCGGGGCCGTCCGCCTCGGGCAGGCTCTGGCTCCCGCGTGCGCCTGGCTCCGGAAGCTCCCGTGCGGCGGCCGCCGTGTGCTGCAGGGGCGCCTGCCCCTCACCCTCTCGCCCCTCCCTGGCCTTTGAGCGGGCCCTCTCCCCCCTCTCCCCCCTGCCCTTGCCCTCTCCCCCCTCCCTGGACTTCGAGCGGGCCCTCTCCCCCCTCTCCCCCCTGCGCTTGCCCTCTCCCCCCTCCCTGGCCGTAGAGCGGGCCCTGGAAACGACAGGGCCGCTTTTCTCACCGGTTCAATGTTGCCGTTTTTTGGTTCCCGGTTCCGGCACCGTGTTTGCTCACCAGTTCCGTCGCCGTTTCTGTCACCGGTTCCGGCTCCGGCTCCAATCCTGGAGCCGTTTTGTGCCGTTTCTGGTCGCCATTTTTGTCGTTTCCATTTTCAAGGTCGGAAGCGGTGAAAAAACGGCCCTGCCGTTTCCGGGGCCCACTATGTCCCTGGCCCCTATTCACTATCCCCCCTTTCTTCTCTCGCGTTGCCGAGCTCACTTCCCGCACACTTCAAACCTTAGTCACGTCTGCTGTTTCCGAATGTCTCCGCGCCAACTCTCGCAAAGGAGCTCATCCCAACATACTGCCCATTACTTCCACTTTGGCTCCACTTTTCAGGGCCTCCTTTGAGCTCTGCCCGCGGTATGCATCAGAGCTCATGGGTTCCGGCCAATCCAGACACTCGCCTCGCCGATACTGGCACATCAAACAACCGAATGTAGACTCCGTAAGTGTAAGTGTGTTAGCGGTGGCGAAAGCGTTTTCTGTGCAGCGTGTCAGCTTGACAGTAGCTGGACATCCCACCTAAACACCAATACATATATTCCTCTTCCTATATTTTCACAAGCCCGGGCGGAGGGAAAAACCGTCCCCCCCTCCCAAAACCGGACTCCCGGGATCTGGGGCTTTGGGACCCTTCGGACGGGCCTCGAAGCGGCCCCCCGGGCCTCGCAGGGCGTTTTGCCAACTTCGCAGCACACCTAGGGCGATCAGGGGGGTCATCGGAGACGTCCCGGAGAATCCTAAGACAGCACAAGAGCGCTCCAAGAAGCCGTCATACCCGCAAATATCGCTCCAAAACGTACCAAGAGGCCTCCAAGAGCACCCCCAAGAAGGCCCCAAGAGGGACAAATCATTGATTGAATCCAGGTTTTTGGTGAATTTGGGGTTCTCCTCTTTTCGGCTTCCCGACGCTCCTAGACAGCGGTCTTCTGGGCGTCCGAAGTCGCCTGGGAGGCTCCAAAATCGCCCCACAGCCATCCGAAAGGGCTTCCAGGCAGTCCAAGAGAGCCCCAAACCGGCACACCAGGGGTCCAAAATAGCCCTAAGAGAGCCCCATGGCGGCCCAAGATGGCCCCAAGACACTCTCCGAAGCATTCCAAATCGTGACCGGGGCGTTCAGGGAGACCGCGGTTAGAGGCAGGTTGGCCTTAGGAAGCCCAAGAGACCCCAGAACACGCCCAGGAGGCCTCCAGAAGGCTTTAAGAAAGCTTGAGAGCTGTGGTGAGGCTCCCAGAGGCTCTCCAAGGAGGAGCCTCCGCAAAAAGAGCTGAGGAGGATGGGGAGAATGCCCAGGGTATGGCGAGAATGAGGAAAAATAAACATGGATGAAGGATAACGAACAACATTATTATAACGGCGATGCCAGAAAAGGCAGCAATGAGTATTCGTTAAAGTGTCCGCTTGACCTTCCTGCCGTCTCCGCCTGCATAGCAATCTTCAAAGACCAAGGTGCATGGCGCGAAGCGCCACTGCAGTCTTGTATGTATATATACACATATATATATATATATATGGTCCCGGGCTCTGGGCCCACGGCCCCCCCCCCCAGATGGTATGGTCCCAGGATTCCTCGGCCCCCCCCCCCCCCAGATGGTATGGTCCCAGAGACGACGACGACGACGACGACTACGACGACGGCGACGACGACGACGACCACCACGACGACGACGACGGCTGCGGCGGCGACGACGCCGGCGGCGGCGGCGACGACGATGACGACGATGACGACGATGACGACGGCGACGACGACGATGACGACGACGACGACGATGACGAAAAGGAGGACGACGAGGACGACGAGGACGACGAGGACGACGAGGACGACGAGGACGAAGACGACGACGACGACGACGACGACGACGACGACGACGACGACGACGACGACGATCTCTGAACCACCACAGCACCACACCACATCCACAGGGGGGGGGAGGGGGGCACCGCAGCGCAGCACCACGCCACGCCCACCTCTGAACCACCACAGCACCACACCACATCCCCGGGGGGGGGGGCACCGCAGCGCAGCACCACGCCACGCCCACGGGGGGGGGCGGGGGGGACCATCGCGCGGGGGGGTGGGGGGGGCCCAATGGCATCAGCATTGGGGGGGGGGGGCCCAAGCACTGGACCATATATGTACACTCGATTGGCTACGCCAGGAAGCGATCCGCATTGGCAGCGGCACCAACAGCTCCGACCTCGGACTTATCTGGCACTCTGGCTTTGGGAAGTTTCGGACCGAGCGTGACGGCGGCTACTGTTATTCTAAGTGATTGAGGGTTGGGCCGAAGGCGCGAGAAGCACAGACTCAGAGATCTCGAGGAGCTTGCCTGGAGATACTCGCTTTGGGAGGGGGTGGAGGGGGGTCTGGATGCGGGCTGGAGAGGGAGGTGAAAGGGGGGGTGGAGGCGGGGTGGAGGGTGGCGCAGGGGAGTTGAGGGGGTGCCTCGCGGAAAGCTCCCTCCAGACCGAAGGGGGGGTACAGTCGGCCCGTATCAGAAGGATGTGCGAGAAGGATGCAAGGGCCCTGGAAGCTCATTTCGAGGCTTGTCGAGCGGAGCGCGGCCAGCGACAGTGGCCAAGGATGGAACGAGGAGGCAAGGATGCAAGGGTAGCCTTGGGGAGGTTGCCCATCCTTACCATCCGGGCTGACTGTAGGGGGAGGGCCCGACCCCCTCCCCGAAGGGAAACACGGCGGCTGGCAAGACGAACTCCCTGGACCACTCACGCCAAGAGGGCTGGTGGGTTTCGAAATCTGTCGAGATCCACCCTCCCACTTTTTAAAACAAAAAAGCAAACGATACCGCTACCGCTGGTCCCCAGACTCTCTCCCGGAGTGCGTTCTTGACTGGAATCGTGAAGGAACCCACTCCGCGGCGAAGGGCCTCCTGGGAGGCCCCCCGCAAGGCGAAAACGGGGCGCCAAGGGCAGCTTCATCGTTCCGTACCTGCCCTTCTCTACCCCTCCCCCGTCCCGCCCGTCACCAGCGTTCCCCCGAATGGGGTTCTCCCCCCCAAGGGATGTTGCTTTCTGGTGGAGCGCTTCTTGGAGGGGCGGCGACACTTGCCCCTTATTGTGCCCGTCGTGGGCCCGAGGCCCCTTCAGGAACCTTCAGGCGCTCAACAAATTCACCTTTTTGCCCCCCTCCCTGACTGTCGGTGTGTCGCCCCACCCCCCCTTCCCCGCCTCCCCCCCCCGCCCCCGCGAGCCGCGGCCACCCGGGGAAGGGAAGGGCAGAATCCCTCCACCGTCCTCCTCCTCCTCCTCCTCCCCCTCCTCCTCTTCCTCCTCCTCCTTCTCCTCCATTCCTTCTCCTCCTCCTCCCTATCGCACCCCGAGGCCACTGCGATTTCCCCACCAGTAGAGATGGAGGGCGGGTGCTTTCAAAATGTGGCTCTCGCCTTAGCGCCGCGCACATGACATAATACTTAACAATTTCAAGAGCTTCACGGATTCAGGGCGGGTCGGTTTTTAAATGTGGTTCTCGCCTTAGCGCCGCGTGCATGTTTGCAAACATTTGCAAGTGGCTCAGGGATTGAGGTCGGGTGGTTTTCAAAATGTGGTTCTTGCCTTAGCGCCGCGCGCATTCGTTTTTCAAGTTGCAAGGGTTTCACGGATTCCCATGATCAGCGTAACAGAAATTGTGTGTTGGGAGGATTCAGTTTTCTGCGGGCGCAACAGTTATGTTGACTCGCTGGGTTGAAGACCTCAAAACGGCGTTCTGGCATGATTCTGGATCGTCCAGACGCAGCAGTCAGGTTGATACGTTGCGTTGAAATCCCGAGAACAATGATTTGGCACGCTTCAGGACCTGCAATATGCTGTCTTCCAGGGAAGCAATTCCTTCAATGGAAATGGACCGTTGCAGGCTAGAGGGCGCTTGCAGGGAGGGTAACTTCCAACATCGCTGCTGACTCTTAGGTTTCCACTGGTCCTCCACCCCCTCTTCCACCTGTTCCTCCCCCTCCCCCTTCTCCGCCTCCTCCTCCTCATCCTCCTCCTCCTCCTCCTCCTCCTCCGCCTCCCCCTCCTCCTTCTTCTGCTCCTCCTCCTCCTCCTCCTCCTGCCGCTTCCCCTCCTCCTCCTCCTCCTCCTCCTCCTCCTCCTCCTCCTCCTCCTCCTTCTCATCCCCCTTCCCCCGCCTTCTCCTCCTCCTCCTCTTCTTCTTCCTCCTCCGCCTCTCCCCTTCCTCCTCCTCCTCCCCCTCCTCTCTCGTGGCGTTTCCCCTCCTCCTGTTCCTCATGTTCCTCCTCCTCCTCTTCCTCGTCTTCCGTGGATCGAATCTAGTCGGATCGGTCTGCGCAAGAGGGGTCGACGCGCATAGGGCGAGAGTAGGCAAGAGAGACCACAGGGCGCAAAACAAAGGGGCAGCAGCAGCGGCAGGACAGCGAGCGGAGCTTCAGCCGAGCGTCATCGACGCTGGTGGGTATGGTCGCTTAAAGTGGACAGACACTTCAGGGGTGCAAGCGGAATGAACGCCGAGAAAGGAGCCAGGAACGACACCTTCCCCTTCGTCATATAGCATCACTCCCCATCTTGGGGCAGCCAGCGTCGCGCTCTTTGCGATGGCGAGAGATGAGATGGGACGCATACGTGCCGACACGAGGAGGACAAGAGAGGACGACGCAGAAAAAGGGGGGCGAAGACAAGAGAGAGCAGGGTCGGGTAAAGGCGGCGGTGGCTCAGGCTCCACCTCTTGCACTATGTCCGCGAGCTGTCTGGTAGACATCCTGACCCTCGGTCCCACCTGCCGGCCCTGACGCAGGAG